CCATACCGGAAAGTTCCTGGATTCACATCCCAGGACTTCCCTGAACATACCATCAGGAAGGTGCATATACCTATGATTTGGGCTGTCTGAGACCAGCAGGGGGTCATGTCACCTTCATGATGGGGATGCCTATTTCTCTCTGTGTCGTTTTTTCTCTCATGGATGAAATAATTTTTTTAAAATAATTATTTTATTTTATTTTATTATTTTCTAATTTGGTGAGAGGAGGAGAGAGAGGAAGAGAGACATAGAGAGAGAGAGAGAGCACGCAAGCCACCAGGTCCAAGACTTGAACTGTGGTAGACCATGTGGGAGTCCAGCACCTTAACCACCACATCATCTGTCAGCCCCGAAATAAATTTTTAAAGAAGTATACCTAATGCAAATCTATAAAAGTAACAATTTTACACTAAATTCACAGCTATCTTTTATTTAATTTTATAAACTAATATTATATTAGTAATACATAATATAAATAACATTACTTAGGAAAATAAGAAATCATTTAAAGTAGAGGTAGAATAGATTCAACACAAAGACTGACTATGTAGGGCCATCCCTGTCAACATTTGTAAATGGTGTTGGCCCAACTGAAAATAATTACTTTATAATGCAGTAGGTTTCTTGCAACATCAATATTGACTGAGAATACAATTGAAACTCTAAATAGCAAACCGAAAAACAACCAAACAACTGAAAAACTAAGCTGCCATAAAGTTCATTCAACAGCGCATGTGATCGCCAGAAAGACAAAGAGACAGAGAGACAGAAAGTGAGAAATCACCCCCAGGGAGGATGGCCACACTATAATCCCTTCTCTTCTATTCTCCTCTCGGGATCTTGGGCACGCACACACACGCACCTAGCATGAGCTTACGCCACCAGGTCCGAGACTCGGACCGCAGTCAACTACATGTGAGTCCAGCAACATAGCCATTACGCCAACTGCTGATCCCCCCTAGGCCCTTGATTTTTACAAATCATTCTATCAACCTCATCTCTGCATTCCCTTGTTACAGCAAATCTACAACAGCAAATTAGAAGCAGCAGATAAACAGGAACAAGCAATATTGGTGTGTCCATATCAATAAAAACTGACTACACTGAAAGAAGAATAAGAACAACAAAAACAAAAAAGACATGTATAAATGTCTAATAATATAGAATCCCAATTGTGTAATACAAGCAGCACTGAAATAAGAATTACAGTTCCAGGATGATGGTAAGTAGAAAACTTAGTTATTCTGCTCCTTATTTTTTTATTCTGTGTGATGGTCAGACAATTTAGTATGTTCTTTATTACAGTATATTTAATCAGCCTTTATTATTGTTAAAAATGGTATCTAGGGGCTGGCAGGTGATGTGGTAGTTAAGGGCACTGGACTCCCACATGGCTGATCATTGTTCAAGTCCTAGACCTGGCAGCTTGCTTTCTCACTTGCCCTCTCTCTCTCTATCCCTCTCTAGCCAAATTAAAATAAAGTTAAAAAAATAATTATTTAAAAAAATGGTATTTAAACATTTTTTCCTGATTATAACAATATATATTGTGGGCCGGCAGGTAGCATGGTGGTGGAGGCACTGAACTCCCCATGGCTGACTGCTGTTCCAAGTCCTGGACCTTATAAATGGGGTTGATCCAACTGAAAACAATTATTTTATTTAAAGTGGCTTGATCTCTCACTTTCCCTCTCGCTCTCTCTAGACAATTTTTTTAAAATAATAATTAATAAAATTAAATAATTCTTTAAAAATATATTTATATAGTAAAAATTTGGAAAATACTGAAAGTGTAAAGAAAATTAAAATTGCCTACTACTTACCACTGCAGAATAACTATATCCTGGTGCATTTCTGTTAAGATGTCTTCATATATATAAATAAAAAATACTTTTTAGTTTTAAACCTGGCATTATTTGCAGTCATTTTCCCAACTCAAAAAGTCTTAGTAAAAACTTGTAATGTCTACATATACTGTAATTTATTCTAGTACTGCATGTATTAGTTGGTGTAGCACATTTTATAAAGTATACTATGCTATATCCATTACAAGCTAATTTTTAAATGATCATTTATAAAGTCTGGATACATAAACGAAATTTTCAATGGAATAGCTTATCAGGTAATTGCCTAGAAAAAGATGAAAAAATTGTGGTTTGTAAAACTAGATTATCAAATGCACTACTTAAGTCCAATGAACAAATGAGACATTCAGAGAAGCATTTCTCTCAATAAATCTTGAAAAATGATTATTTTAAGTGGTTTCTGGTAAAAATAAGACATTTCCAGGACCAGCCAGTGGTACAATGGTTAAGGCAGCTGGTTCAATATGGACAACTACACAGTTCAAATCCCAGACCTGAAAGCTTGAAGAACACACCAGTCACATGTTATGCCATCTGCTGGTCCCCATTAATGACTTATTAATCGTTCTGAACATTCATTAAGCAAATATGTATTGAGTACCTATTTGTAGGCATTATGCTAGGTTGTGTTACACCAAATTAAGAATTTTCTTTGTATTCTATAAAATGACTCAAAACACTTAAAATATTTTAATAAAATGTAGTGAAAAAATCATCCAAAGTCCAACTGTACTTCTCCTCTTTGTACTTATTATCCAGTTTCTTTCTGTCCCACTAACCTATAGGCAACTTGAGAGCAGAGCGGGTTGCTAAATCTCTTTCTGGTTTCTGGTATAAATTAGGAGTTCAATATAGGTTTGCTGCATGAATACATTTACAAATACAGAGTTTTTCAGTCCTAATAAAAATATAATATAAAAAGCATACTTTTTATACAAATGAAATGCTATTTTTGATGATGCTGTTTTCATTTTATTTTCTATGTTCCTTCCTACCAGTCTTAATAAATTTCGTGGCAGCATAATATTCCAATTCATTTATGTAACTTAGAAAACAATTCTTTTCATGTTGGTTGTATAGCTTACACTGTAACAAACACCATTTGCCTTACAAGTCTCAGACCTATTTCTCACTGGAGAAATCAGGCTCAACTCTAGAAGATAATCTTGTATAACACAATTAGCCCTAAAGAAAAAGATTTCTACTCCATAGGCAGAATTCTGAAAGACAAAGAAACTAGAATCGACTACTCAGAACAAGCAATTATAATAAAACTTCTATTAAGAAATGTGTCCAACGGGAACCAGTAGTTAGCGTAATGGCTGTGTCACTGGACTCCCACGTAGTCGACCGCGGTTCGCATCCCGGACCTGGTAGCTTAAAACTCACGCCGGGCGCATGTGTGTGCGTGCCCAAGATCCTGAGAGGAGAATGGAGGAGAAGGGATTGCGGTGTGACCATCTCCCCTGGGAGGTGATTTCTCGCCTTCTGTCTCTCTCTCTGTCTGAATGGCGAGCGCACATGCCCTATAGCGAAAACCTCTCCGAAAAAAAAAAAAGAAATGTATCCATCCAAATAAACTACCTTTAGTAGGACTGCTTAATATTTAGAAAAGCTAAGTGGGGGTGGGAAAGGCAGTGAAAACTCTTTAGGTAACAAACAAATAAGATATTTAAACAGAACCTCGAAGCTCTTTGAATACAGCACACACTTTACCTCCACTTCCAAGAATACATAGTTTGTTCAGCTCCTCAAATTGCACAAATGTAAGAAACTTGGAGCTTCTGAAGATGCCCTGATTATTTTAGTAAAAAAAAAAAAAAAAAAAAAACCTATCTGGCTACATATAAGGATTTAAGACTTGACTTTAGATATAGATAGTGGGACCGTATGGAAAAAGCAACTATATTTTAGAAATATGAAGCTAGTTCATGTACAGATTCATTTAACACACTTGTGTTGGGCATCTACTAGTGCATCTCTGCAACATGGCCCTTCATTGATTACCAAAATTATTACTGACCTAGTTCCTTTGTGTATGTGAGAGGAGGGAAAATAAGGGAAGAAAGGAGTAATAGTTAACTACACAATAATTATCTCTAAAATGACAGAATATAATCTATAAAAGGTCACTTCATTGTGGGCAAGACAGTCTTTGAGGCTGGCTAAAACATATGCTCAAATATGTAATTTTTAAAAGAAATAACGCTATCTGATATATATTTTGTCAAATTTTTTTCATGAAGCCCAGTGAATAACAGCTGTATTTAATTTTGTATTGTTTGCCCTACAGGTTTTTGCATGTACATATACACAAACACATACAATTGGGACTCGACAGATTTTTATAAATAAATAAATATATACATATGTAGTGTGTGTGTGTGTATATATATATCTTCTAGTAAGAAAAAAATACATAGTATATGTATATAATGAGACAACTGAATTACTTATAGCAGAAATTCCATAGGTGTTGCTTAAAATGTGGGTGTTCTTGATGCCCAAAAGTTCCATTCACAGACTGCATTAACATTCCACACGGTACAAAAGCGCATGCCATAACAAAGACCTGCAAACACAAACATACAAAGACGCTTCTTAAAACGCCCCTAAAGCCAAGTTCACAGCTGGCACTTGTGGCACACTCAAGCCACTGCTGAAGCAGCTGTCACAGGCCAATCATACACACCCAAGAGTGCCAGCGTGCCACCTAAGACAAGCTGATGATCAGCGTACAAATCCCTCGGCGAATAAAGAAAAGCCCTAAATCTCCACCCTGAAAAGCACAATGCCTGCACCACCCAGAAAACTCCCTACAAAAACGAAAGGTTGGAGATTTACAAGCAATTAAATATCAGCTTATAGCAACACAGTAAAAGAGGGCTTGGTTAGGGCATTCACGAGAAAGGGGCCACGCCAATCAATCCCCGCGGAAGTATCAACTAGAAAGAGGCACGGGGCTTTCTCCACCGTAGGAAAGGGGAGAAGAGGACGAGTAGGAAACGCAAAGCCTGTACCAGCTCCCTTCCCGGCAGCGCTCTGGGACTGCTGCGAACTCCGCTTCCCAGCCCCCTCCCAGCCCTTCCCGGCCACCGCTTCCCACTGCGGCCCGGGTGTCTCCGGCTCTCCTACCTTCGCTTTACCGGCCTCCAGCTTCTTCTGTCTCTCCTCGTCCTCCATGGCCTCTGCGGGA